TTTTTTTTTTTTTTTTATATGATAAATATTTTACATAGACCCACCTTCTTCCTTTTCCAGATAGAAAACCAGATATAGCAGGGGGGAAAAAGTAAACTAACACAGAAATTTACATTCACTTAGTACTCCAATCAAACCCACAGAAAATAAGCTAAGACAAAGATATAGTTTACTGGTACAAATGAAAAAAATGTACCTTACTGTATGTAGGACATTTAAGCCTATGTGTAGATGGAAAGGATAGAAGTTATATTTGGGAAGGAAAGCAGTACACAAAATGATTTGCAGAGGTCTCAAATTATATTTTCAATTTTTATTTATTTAAAAAGTCCAGCTGAACATGATGGCATATGCCTATAATTCTACCACCCAGAAGGCTAGTCACTAGCTCAAATTCAAGGCCATGTTGGGCTAAGCACTGAGAAACTGTTTTTTGACTGACAGTCACTTGGATGGAATACCTGTAGAAGCCAAAAAAGAAGAAAAGGGCCATTGGGCCAGGGGATACCTTAATAGAGGGGCATGTTAGAACATGGGTGGAAAGCTTAACCAGGGTTATCCGTGGGTGATGCCACGAGGAGAGGAAAAGGCATATGGAAACCTACTACTTTGTATGCCAATTAAAAAGCATCAGTAAAATTTAAAAAGTCTAGAGGAAAAAATATAGCAAAACATTAACTCATGTTTAGAATGAGTATATATGATGAGTTCCTCATACCATAGTGTATAGATGGCTGTTACATTTTTGAACTTTTTATAAAGCTAAAATAGGCAAACATTTAAAACATTAAAATATTTACAATTTAGTCAAATCCACTGGTTTGTGAAATAACAGTAACACCATTGTATTCTAGATGCTAAAAAAACGCTCCTGCATTGAAAGCTTATGGCTTTGGGCCTTTTAGAGAGGTGTTCTTAGACACTGCCATGAAATCTAAATGACTAAGTGAGTTGTGAGCTGGCTTCCCCAGTGACAGCTTTTCTAACCTCTTACTCTTGGTGAGGAGTTAACAGAGATACACACAGAGTTTCTGATAGTTTATCCTTCCACAGTCTTTCAAGTGGATCATTTCTTTACCTGAACTTCTCAAAAGTCAAAAGATTACATCCGGATAGCTGCTGTGCCTTAATTTTTAAGACTATCCTAAGCAGCTTAAATAACGAAGGAATTACTGTACATTTATAATAAGTAACTTACAAAAGATTTTTTGTCAAAGTTAGGCTCCTCAAATATTTCATTAATAAGACTGTCAAGATCATCTTCTTTTTTAAATGTTTCTGTTGATCTGAAAAGAAAACGTGCACACAATAATAAACCCTTTCCTGGAACTGAAAAACAGATGTTTCACTGCTACAGTTACAAGCATGTTTTTCAGGTATGGAAATATGTCACAACCTGCAGGGCTTGGGACTGTCTTGACAGGGGCGAGTGGGGAATGAAGACATGACAGACCCACATACAGAAGGGCTGGGATAGTGCGGACTGTGTGCTCTGGGGAGATACACCAACAGCAATGTGGGGAGACTCAGAGGTTATGGCAAGCAGTAGGCAGGGGAGGGAGGAGGGAGCTGCTGTTGGTAGTTTCTGTACACATGGGCTTTAACTAAAGAGGAGCTGTTTGTACATAAGCCTAACCTGGGCAAGGCTCTGCCATACCCATGAGTCTTAGGCACTAAGCTCCTTGACATGGCAGACCTTGTGTCAATAATATACTTTCAGGACTTCAACCAAACTCACAGAAACAAGCTGCTTGCTGAGACAAAGATATACTTTATTGGTACAAATTCACACATGTACCTTACTATTTTGCAGCTTAAGATATTTAAGCCTATGTATTATACTAAAGAAATATTGGGAAATACTTTTCTAAAATATGTCACTTATACAGAAAATGGAACATATATAGGCTATAAATCAATACTAATACCATATAGGTTTCAACTTTAAGTCAAACAACCTTTCTCTTTCTAAAAGGAACCAAAGATCATGTCAGCAAATGACCAAAAGAGAAAATCCCTCCCCAAAGTCAAAGAACTCCTGCTATGTGTCAGAATATCTCAACTACTCCACGCTCTTCGGGAGGAGCCACAAAGGGATTTAGTGCAAACTACTGCCACAGAGACCATCCATTTAAAAGAGCACGGGGCTCGGGACAAAGCACACTGGTTGAGTACTTGTTTAGCATGGACACAGTCTGGGGTTCTGATGTCCAGGCAGCACTGCCCAGTCTCCTGCCACCACTCCGAAGGAGTATGTACTACATGTTGGGCAGTCACTGTCCTAAGGCTTTCCTTACTTCTAGCTTTAGGTGAAGCAAAGGCAGTGAGATTCAGAAGCTTGTACAGGCCATGTAGATAAGGGGAAGTTCATATACTACATGTTTTGAGACAACTGTTCTTAGTTTTTATGCTGTGGACACTGTTCATCAACTTTGGAAGTTCATTGGACCATTGGATAATTTTTTGTTGTTGTTGTTCAAATTCTTTAGAAATGTACTTACTTTGAAATCTTAACGTTAGGAATATATCCCTCATACCAAATGGTTGATATAATTACCTCTAGGTTTTGTGTTATAGTAAATAAAAATGGGTCTTGGGCTATATAATGTTTGTTATTAGCCTTAAGATTGTCACAGTGGTATTATCTTACTATGAAAAATAATAAGACACAGACACCTGTCAGATTTTATCATTGCCTTATTTACTACCTATGCTGTCTGAATAACCTCACCATCACCTCCCAGCCCCCGTAACGTACAATGCCATTCTCCTTAACCATTCTATCTTCCATCTAAAATCTTAAAACACTTGCTTTTATTCTTCACCTGGGCCCTTTTATGCCATATTGGAGTCCTTCCCCAGGCCCCATGTGGTTTTTTCTCCAGGCTAACCCATCGTGGTATCCTCCTTCTTCCTCTCTGTCTCTGTCTCCCATGATTCTCATGATTCTTCCATCGTCAAAAGCCTGGGAACCTCAGCCATGCTACCCTATTTTGCCCAGGTATAGGCCATTTAACAAACCAATCAGATATGTTTTAGGCAGGTTTACACAAACAAGGATGGGTGTATCCGGCGGGCAGTAACCAGATCTTGAGGGTCAGTAATTAGCATTAGATCAACCTCCAATAATTTCCCTTTTCTGTCTAAATAAAAAAGCCATTTTTTACAGTAAGAATAATTATAAAACAATTATAAAAACCAATAGGTAAGACCATATATATATACATATACATATGTATATATATGCACACATACATATAATATCTAGTTTAAATATATTTGGCAATCTTGAAGAAAATATCTACTCTATCTATGAGGGTCTAAGATTTTTGTACATAAGTACCTTTATTGTAGTTTTTACCTATCAACCTAAAAACATCTATCTAGACCTAAAACATCTCTTTATTTATTTCCTAAGCAATTAAGCTAATTGTAAAATTTTGACTATCTGGTCTTCAACCCCATCAGAGACTTGAGAAGGAATAAATTAAATACTTGAGTAAATAGGAAGCACATACTAGCAGCTTCCAAAAAAAAAAAAAAAAAAAAAGGAGATTGACACAGACAGTTTGCTGTCTGAACTGGCACCCAAAACTCTATAACATTCAAGCATCATCTTCAGCCTCTGGCCCAGTATATTTGACAGACATATATACGAAGCAGGAACTATTTAGGACTTGCTTACCCTGTCTTGGCAGAGTTTGGCAGTCGACTTGGCCTGCATTTGAGCTTGCCCATTTTTGGCACAATTATGTCTGTCATGAAGCGAGGGGATTTTCTTGACCTGGGTGGCTGGTTGGCCACATTTGAAGCCATCTCCATATGGAGGTTCTTCGATGCTCATCATTTTCTTTGAGGTAGGCGGGGTGCTGCCAGGAGATGACATATCTCATTGTCAAAGAATCTTTAAAATAATAAAAACATTTCTAAATGCAATATTCCGTACGTCTCTGAGGTTTTTGAAGACTTATCTACCTTTATATAATTTATTTATCTATAGAATCATATCTATCTGTTAAACTGAGGATATATATTTTTGTGATAAATGAGCTGTTGTCTGATATGACCGTGCATTGACTAACAATTAGCTTGCATTGCCTAATATCCTAATAATATGGTAACTTATATTGCTGATCCTACTACATGGGAATAGCTCTGAAACTGACTGAGACATGGATGTCTATGAATAGCCAATAATTCTTGTTGGCTACAGAATCCCCAGGACATATACATGCCATCCTTTCATGTCACGAATAAAGATTTACAGATGCCTTTCTTCTGCTCATACAAAGAGCAGAAAGCCATTATTCTTAATTGATCTGTGTATCCTGAACATCTCATACATCTCAATTATAGAATTGTAAAATGCTTGTGAGAAGTTATGTATTTTTAGAACAAAAAACCCAAAAAACAAAAAACAAAAAGCAGACCCTAGTGATGCTGGATCAAACCTGACAGGATTCATCTTTAGCATGCTGAGACGCTGACACGTCTGTTCCAGCACTCTGCTTCTTCCAGACTTAAACTGCTTCAGTTGCTGTTCTTCATCAAAACCTGCTCCCAAGATAGCTCTGCAGAAAGCTACTGATCTCAAATGGCCTAGCATTTCAGACTGCTTGGAATTTCTCAACATTTTGAGATTGGACCACGAATGTTACTGCTAGTTTGCTTAACCATTTTTCCCAACTTCCTTTGGGCCAAAAAGGATTGTTTTGCCCCAAAAATCAGCTAGAAGAAATCCATGAGATTGATATCCCACTTCCCTTAAGGGGGATTGGGTAGGTTTTTGGTTGTTTTCTTGGGCTATGAATGTCATTGGGAGATGGTTATAAGTTATTAATGATCTTATTCAGAAAGAAAATGAAATTAGACTCAGGGATTTCTCTAGCTGATTTTTTGGGGCAAAGCAATCCTATTCGGCCCAAAGGAAATTGAGAAAAATGGGTAAGCAAGCTAGCAATAACATTTGGATGTGTTTTAAGTAAACTTTATATGAACTCCTCTTTAATTTACTGTGTAAGTATACCCTTGGCTTCCTGTATCCTGCACATGAAGACAAGCCTGAGGTCCCTCCCAGGGTTCCTATACCTCCTAGGCTGGCAAAGCCAAACTACTGAAGGTGGTCAGCAGAAGCGACCCCCAACACATTCAGTGATGAAGACAGGCCTCCCAAAGTCCCACCAAGAGAACTTCTGTCATGGAGGAGCTCCTGTACCCCAAGTCCTAAACACCTTCCATCTTACCTCAGTGGGGTCATGCCCTCAACACAGAGCTTTGCTCTTGACCCCAAGTATGTCACCAGCAAAGCCCTGCAGAGACAGAACAGTGAAGAATCTGCCAACAGCTTTGCTTCTTTAGGTGTTCCTCTCTCATTTTTTTTAAAACTCATTTTTTATTTTTTGAGACACAGTTTCTCTGTGTAACAGCCCTGGCTGTCCTAGACTCACTTTGTAGACCAGGCTGGCCTTGAACTCAGAGATCCGCCCCAACTGCTGGGACTACAGGCATGCACCACTGCGCCTGGTGTTGCCACTCTTTTTTACTCACCACGGAGTAACCTATATCCATCATTTGATTTACTCTTAGAGTCTGCATGGTCTCTTCAATCTTAGAACTACTGACATTTGAGGTCAGATAACTCTTGTATGTTGAGACGGGGTACTACTGGACTCTCTAGGGCTATTTTATGGGGTTTCTAGCTACCTGCCAGATGCCTATAGAATACTTTTTTCCAGTTGTGAAAACCAAAAGAACTTCTCTGGCCATTGCAATATCATCACTGGTGTAGAAGTACTGACCTAGTTGAAGTGCTTTAATTTCTCTGAGCTTCAGATATTTCACCTATGGAAAAAAATCTTTCAAACTGCTGTCAGGTGTAATGTTCTATCTCTGGTTTTATCTGTATATGTCAACTACAGTGGACTTCTTACCTCAAATCCTTAAATTCGGGTCTCTCAGTTCTAACCCTCTTTAATCTTTCAGAAGCCCACAGCACAGCTGTATAAGAGATCTTTAACTTTCTTTTTTTGAGACTGGGTTTTACAATGTAATCCTGGGTGGCCTAGAACGCAGAGATGAGTCTGGCTCTGCCTTTGGGATTAAAGGGGTGCACCACTGGGGCCAGGCTATAAAGATGTCCTCATCAGAGTCCTCCTTTGGTTTTGAAGACATACTGTCTAGGCTCTTTTCTCATATAATTCAAGAATTTCATGAGGCAGATGAGTTTTTAAGCTTCTCCTCCTGTTCTTGTTTTGAGACCTGGTCTTACCAAATGGCTCAGCCTGCCCTCAAACTCATTCTTTGACCATCATTATTAGGCCCACCTAGACTTGGTGAATGAAGAGATAACACCATTCCTCTCATTGGGTGATAGTGGTAACAATTATTGGGGACTTAGCACAGAGAAAAGACTCAGTAAATGTTAGCTGTTACTACAACTATCATCTAGGAGATGGTATTATCGTTAAGTAATCCCTCTGTAGCATCCTGAACCACTTTATTACTCTGCAGTATTTCACTCAACCCATGCTGGTTGAACACTTCAACAAACTGTATGCATTTACCATTTACATTACAGCTATTTCTGGTATCCAGATGAGATATGGCCAATTACTGCATCATTTGCAAAGCTCTCATTTAAAGAGGCAGTTTCAGTATTTTCGTTCACAAAAAATGAACATTATGCCATGTAACCAGCAGGCGGTCTGTTCATAAACTCACAAACGGCTTCCCTTGGCTCAGTATAAAACTTCAATGTGCTGACATTCCATACCAGAATGGAACTGTATTTAAAACTTGGCTTAGGGTATCTGTTGTGGCTTTTTGCACAACTTAAAAGCACTATACCTGACAAAAAGTTTTAACACAAATGATATCAGTTCTTATTAACTATAGGCATTTATAGACGAGTTAAGGTAGCTGGGGCACGAGGAGCACGTAGACAGATTCTAGTACAGAAACGGGCATGGAAGAACGCATGGCTGGGGAGGAGCCACAAAAATGGCCATCCCTTCAGCATTGAGCTGCCCGCTCCAAGACAGTCTATGCTTCTCTCTGCTAGTTCTAAGACGAAAAGGCTCTCATAAAAGGCTCTCCAAATATAAAGAAACAGTTAACTAAAAAGAACAAATACTGCGAAGTAATAATATATAAGTTAACGGAAGCGTATTTTCATAAACATTCAGCCAAATGGGGTTGGCCAATTGAAAGCAGCCACTCTAGTGTCTATTTTCTTATTTTTTGTAGACAGGGTTTCTCTGTGTAGTCCCAGTTGTCCTGGATCTCATGCTGTAGACCAGGCTGGCTTCAACTCAGAGATCTGCCTGACTCTGCCTCCTGAGTTTAAGGGCATGCACCCCCACGCCCAGCTGGTTGCCTATTTTTAATAAATGTTTTGGAACTTCTATTTTGAACTCTTTTAGAATTTTTTCAATGTTCCGATTGTCCCCAGGTTGATTTTTATACACAAATGTCATGGTAGGTTAAGTTTGGTTAGTTGGGTAATACTGGGAAACCCCAACGGGCCCCAACCAGAGCTGCAAAGCTACCACTGTAATCCCACCGGCCTTTCCAAATGTTCTAGGCAAGAGACAAATTTCTAAAAGATCCTAGCAAGAGTTACTGCTGATCCTAAGCCCTCACTTTAAATGATAACGCACCGATGCTTAACTTTTTGTTGTTCAAACCCCTAAAGACTTAAGTGTTCTTAAATTTCGTCCTGGATATCGGACATCTGCTGGGGCCCCTAACTTGGAGACACGGGGGAACCGCAGGCAAGTGGCCTATATAATTCAGGTGTTTACAATCGATACTCTTAATAATGAAATCTTCTCTCATCCGACTCCTCGAGCCTAAACAATCGGACAATGGTTCTCTTAACAACTGGCCCAGGGGTTGCCTGGTAACGGGTGAGCGGCAGGACGTTTTCAGTCGGGACACCTCACTGAGAAGGCTCCGGATCGGGTCAGCACGGCCCTCTCGGGGCTCAGGGGAGGGTGGCCTCGGACTCCCCGCCGGGTCAGGGCCGTCGGGGGGGAGGGGCTCGGTTCCCTCCCGCTCGCCCCGGGCCGGGCTCTGAGCCGCGAGGGGAGCCGCGGGGGCGACCACTGCGGGGGCCGCGGCCCAGGCCGCGGACGGCGCGGCGGCGGAGGGCGGCCGGGGGCCGCGCCAGGACCGTCCACCCGCCCGCGTTAACCTGAGATCCTCGTCCGCCTGGGCCTGGTTCCGGCCGCCGCCGGGCCGCGCCTCCAGGTCCAGCCTCAGGGGCTCCAGCCTGCAGAACTTGGTCTCGACTTCGTCCAGAAGCTCGTCCAGGTCCTTCGCCATCTTGGCCTGGCGCGCCTCCCCGACTCGGGACCGGTGGTCTCCACGGCAACGCCAGAAACCGTCGCGCCTCCCCGCCCGCGCGTGCGCAAACCGCCGTCGCCGAGGGGGGGGCGGAGCGCGCAGCCGCGGTGCCGGCGGGCGCGCGCTCGTGCTGGCGAGGGGTCCGGCGGGTGTCCGCCGGCCACAGCTGGCCCCGGTGGGCCCCGCGCGTCCCGCTGCGCTTCCCGCGGTGGTCGTGCCAGCCTGGGCGCCACCGGGATGCTCTCCTCTCCCGCGCCGGCTCCTTATGAAGCGTCTCCTTCCACCCGATCCCGACCCCTGCCTTCTCCAACCGTTTGTAAACTCCTTAAATTGTTCCGGGCGCGCCTGGGCAGCTGCAGGCACGGAAACCAAAAAGTTGTGTGGCAAAAAGCATCCTCCGCACCCGTAGTCGGCAGGATTCGAACCTGCGCGGGGAGACCCCAATGGATTTCTAGTCCATCGCCTTAACCACTCGGCCACGACTACTGGCGATGCTAATTTTGGCAGGGAGTTTCTATGTAGACTCTGCATTGGACGCTCCTGCCGTACTAACACGGCCGGGGCCTCCGCTTAAGCGAATTCGACCGTCCCGGCTCCAATCGTTTCCGCGGTTTGAAGAATTCTTAGAACCGTTCTGTCCACCTTTTCCATTCTGACTCACAAAGGTGTGGTGCTGAGTGCTCAAAGCTAGATTCAGAGGGATAGAGAGGAGGGACAGAGGCGAGGGAGGGAGCTGCCTACTTCTTTGCTCGTTGATTGAGGCATTTCCCGTAGGGAAGCTGGAATTGCGGGGAGCCACTGGCCAGCCTCCCAGATTCCCCAAACCCTTCTGGGTTTTTCTTTGACAAACAGCTCCCTGGATGGTTTTCTCTCATTAGCGATTACATTATTATTAATTATTATAATATATTATTACCTATCAATTTTTATTTTTTTACCATTTTAAAATTATCATTTATTACAGTTTATTCAATTTGTATCCCAGCTGTGGCCCACTCCCTCCTCTCCTCACAATCCCACCTTCCCTCCCTCTTCTCCCCCTATGCCCCTCCCCTAGTCTACTGGTAGGGGAGGTCCTCCTCCCCTTCTATTTGACCCTAGCCTATCAGTTCTCATCAGGACTGGTTGTATTATCTTCCTCTGTCGCCTGGCAAGGCTGTGCCCTTTCTTCAGGGGCAGGTGATCAGAGAGCCTGTCACTGAGTTCATGTCAGAGAGAGCCCCTGCTCCCCTTACTAGGGGACCCCACTTGGAGACTAAGTCTATGGGCTACACCTGAACAGGGGTTTTTGGTCCTCTCCATGCGTTGTCCTTGGTTGGGGTATCATTCTTTTCAGGGCCCCCAGGGCTCAGTTTTCTTGGCTCTGTTGGTCTCCTTTTGGAGCTCCTGTTCCCTCCAGGTCTTTCTATCTCCCCCTTCTTTCATAAGATTCCCTGCACTCTGCACAAGGTTTGGCTTATGAGTCTCAGCCTCTGCTTCGATCGATACCTTGATCAGTAGAATCTTTCAGAGGCCCTCTGTGGTAAGCTCCTGTCCTGTTCCCTTTCTGCTTCCGATGTCTATCGTGTTTGTCCTTCTGAATGAGGATTGAGTATCTTCCCTAGGTTTTCTTCCTTGTTGTTTAGCTTCTTTAGGAGTATAGATTTTTAGTATGTTTAGCCTATATTATATGTCTAATATTCACTTATGAGTCAGTATATACCATTGTGTGTCTTTCTGCTTCTAGGATACCTCACGCAGGATGATCTTTTATAGTTCCCACCATTTGCCTGCAAATTTCATGATTTCCTTGTTTTTAATAGTTGAGTAGTATTCCCTTGTGTAAATGTACCATAATTTCTGTATCCATTCCTCCGTTGAGGGACATCTAGGTTGTTTCCAGCTTCTGGCTATTATGAATAAAGTTGCTGAAACATGGTTGAGCAAATGTCATTGTATAGTTGAGCATATTTTGGATATATGTCTAGGAGTGGTATAGCTGGATCTTGAGGTATCACTATTCCTAATTGTATGAGAAAGTGCCAGATTGTTTTCCAAAGTGGTTGTAGAAGTTTATATTCTCACCAGCAATGGAGGAGAGTTCCCCTTTCTCCACAACCTGTCCAGCATGTGTTCTCATTTGAGTTTTTGATCTTAGTCATTCTGATGGTGTATGGTGAAAACTCAGGGTTGTTTTGGTTTGCATTTCCCTGATGACTAAGGATTTTGAGCATTTCTTTAAGTGTTTCTCTGACATTTGATATTCCTCTATTGAGAATTCTGTTTAGTGCTGTACCCCATTTTTAAATTGGATTACTTGGTTTGTTGGTGTTTAACTTTTTAAGTTATTTATATATTCTGAATATTAGCCCTCTGTCAAATATAGGGTTGGTGAAGATCCTTTCCCAATCTGTAGGTTGTTTTGTTCTGATAACACAGTCCTTTGCTTTACAGAAGCTTTTCAGTTTCATGAGGTCCCATTTATTGATTGTTGCTATTAGAGCCTGTGCTGTTGGTGTTCTGTTCAGTAAGTTGTCACCTGTGCCAATGAGTTCCAGGCTCTTCCCCACTTTTTCTTCTGACAGGTTTAGTGTGTCTGGTTTTATGTTGAAGTCTTTGATCCACTTGGACTTTAGTTTTGTGCAGGGTGATAAATATGGATCTATTTGCATTTTTCTACATGTAAACATCCAGTTAGACCAGCACCATTTGTTGAATATGCTATCTTTTTCCATTGTATTGTTTTGGCTTTGTCAAGAATCAAGTATCTGTAGGTGTGTGTGTTATGCATGGAAAGACTGTCTTAGCAAGCTATAAAGCATTATTTTGAAAAAGAATATAAACCACAGTGCAAAAAACAAAGCAAAACAAAACAAAAAACTCCACAGAATCTTCAATTCCTATGCTTTGAACAGGTATATATATGAAATAATATATAATGTTTTACTATAAAATATTATAAAATATAAAAATATTATGTATGTATAGTCTCGTCCTATAGCCTAGGCTAGCTTAGACTTGAAGACTCTCCTGCCTCAGCCTTTCTGGTGTTGGTTTGTATCAGATGCCTATTATCACAACACTCCTCCATCAACATAGCCAACCAAATTGCATTTCTAAAGCTGAATTAGCCGAAAAGTCACCACTCTGAACTCTAGAGACATGTGGACCAAGTGATTTATTAGTTTCGTTTATTTAATTCTTTCAAAATGTTTTTAATTTTCCTGAAGAGCAACGTGCGGCATTACACTAGAGTGAACAGTAGCTCCCCGGAGGCCTTTGGGCAAAATGACTTTTTGCGGACTATTGTTAAGTGCATCCATTAATTAAAATGACATTATCTAAATTTACACTCATATTAAAACAGAGGTAATGTTTGGCACATTCTGGCTGTCTCTCTGTGTGGCTTTGTTTCTGTTGAGGCTGCTTATGTCATAAATTTTGTTAGAACTGGGGTCAGGCCTGGCAGTCTTTCTGTCATTGGGGCTACCTGGATCAGCATGTGGTTGTGGCTTCCCATTTCATTCTCCCAGTAGCCTGAGGTTGGTTGGAACTGTAGACATTTTTTTTTCACACCCTCCATGCCCATAGTTTCTATTCATCTTTATCTTCAGTTGTCCTGACAGCACATTCTTGATCCTTTTCTTGATCGCTTTCTCCTCTTTTCTCTCAGTAACATGGAGAAAACTTACAATCTACCATTTTACCTTGGAAGTCTTTTTTGTTGTTGTTGTTGAAGAAAAGCCTTTCTAAAGATATATTTTAATTATAATTATGTATATTTGTGGATGGCTGTGTGTGAGTAGGGGTGTGAGTATGTGCACTTGTGTTCAGGAGCTGGAGTTACAGACAGTGGCGAGCAGCACGGTGCGGGGCTGGGAACAGGACCCTGGATGTCTTCTCATCAGTTTATAAAACTAAAAATAGAACAAGACGTTTTGTCATAAGACTGTACCTGGAACTGACTCCAGCGGAAACACAGGAAGAAGACACCTGAAAGGCCACCCTTGGAGGTGCTGCGATGGCTCGGCTGTTAAGAACTTTTGCTGTTCTTCTGGAGGACCCAGGTTTGATTCCCGGCATCTGTTTTGAGCGGCTCACAATTGCCTGTAACTCCAAGTCCAGGAGGACCCAACATCATCTTCTGACACACAGAGGTGCTTGTGTGTGTGTGTGTACATTAAAATAATATATTTTTAAAAGGCTGCCCTTGCAACTTGGCTCTAGGGGAAGTAATAAAAAGTTGATCTCCAGATTCTAGGGTTAAACTAAGGATTTGTGAATCCTTGTCCCAAAGTTTTGAAGACATTCTGAGCTTCTATACTTCATAAAGAATAGGTAAGTACCTCAAGTAATCTAATAACACGGGAAAGGAGCATGTTCCCATGTCATTATATATACTTACTATTTCAAAGGTATTTAAAAAGGTCTTTATTTTTTGAGTATTTCATACAGTATATTTTTTAATCACATCACATTAATTTTTGCGTCGTCCCCCCACCCCCGCAACTTCATGTTCTTATTTTCTCTTAAAAAACAAAAACAAGGGGCTGGAGAGATGGCTCAGAGGTTAAGAGCACTGGTAGAGGTCATGACTTCAATTCCCAGCAACCACATGGTGGCTCACAACCATCTACAATGAAATCTGGTGCCCTCTTCTGGCGTGCAGCAGGTGTTCATGCAAACGCAACATTGTATACACAAATAAACAAACCTTTAAAACAACAACAAGAAAAGGAAAAGGCACTAAAGACATGGATTCTGATTTGTGTTAGCCAACTTCTCCTGAGCACAAGGCTATTAGGGGTGTCACTCCGTTGAAGAAACCTCTTTCCTCCTCTCAGCAGCTATTATTTGGGAATAGCTTCTTGGCTAGGGGTGGAATTTTGTGCCACATTACCTTCCTCCATGCTGGGATTTTGTCTGGCTTGAGTGTGGGTCTTTTGATGTCCCAGTTTCTATCAGTAAATATGTGTATCAGCTTTGTCGTGTCTGGAAAATGCTATTTCTTTAAAACCATGCACCACCTCTGGCTCTTTCTACTAAGTTTTATGTCA